TTAGGTTCAGGGTTAGGACTAGCATAAGGTTTCAGTTATGGGTAGTGTTAGAGGTTATGGTTTAGACTTTGGGATAGTGTGTTGGGTTACATATTAGGGTTAGGTTAAAGTTAGGGTTAGAGCCAGGGTTAGGGTTAGGATTAGTGTTAGATTTTCGGTTATGGTTTGTGATAGAGGTTAGGGTTAGGGTTAAGGTTATTATTATGTTTCAGGGCAGTTAGTGTGAGTGTTAGGTTTAGGGTTAGAGTTAGAGTTTAGGGTTAGTGTTAGTGTTCAGTTTATGGTTAAGTTTCGGTTCAGGGTTAAGGATGGAGTAAGGGTTGTTTTCAGGTCATTGGTGCTCTTAGAAGCTATGTCTTAGAGTTTGGGATAGTGTTTTGGGTTACACGTTAGTGTTAGGGTAAGGAATAGAGGTTAGGTTTGGTTTTGGTTACAGTTAGTGTTAGGGTTCAGGTTAGGGTTAGGGTTGTAGTAAGTTTAGGGTTTATGGTTAGGACTAGGGTTAGGGTTCACATTTATTGTTAGTGTTAGGGTTAAAGTTAGGGTTTGGATTAAGGGTAGTGTTAGAGTTTAGGGTTATGGTTAGTGTTGTGGTAAGGGTTAGGTTTCAGTATGGTTATTGTTAGAGTTTAGGGTTAGCATTAGGAATAGGGTTTAGGTCAGGGTTAGGTTTCAGGCTATCTGTAGTGTAGAGGTTACAGCTAGGGTTGGCGTTTATGTTAGCATTTAGGTTTAGTTTTAGGTTTATGGTTAGGGTCTGGTTAGGTTTCAGGTTATGGGTGGTGTTAGAGTTAGGGTTTAGGTTAGGGTTAGAGTTCGGGTTAGGATTTGCATTAAGGTTAGCATTAGGTTTAAGGCTCAGTTTGTGGTTAGGTTTAGGGTTATTGTTAGGGTTAGGTTTAGGTATGGGGTTGGGGTTAGGATTCAGGTTATGGGTAATGTTAGAGGTTATGGGCTAGAGTGTGTTACAGTGTTAGGGTTAGGGTTATTGTTAGGGTTAGGGTTCAGTTTAGCATTAGGTTAGGGTTAGTCCTAAGGTTAGGGTTAGGGCCATTGCTAGGGATAGGTTTAGGTTTTAGGTTATTGTTACGGTTATGGTTAGGGTTAGAGTTAGGATTATGTGTAGTGTTAGAGGTTAGGGTTAGTGTTCAGGTTTAGAGTTAAGGATCAGATTAGGGTTAGTGTTAGGATTAGGGTTATGGTTACAGATTTAGTGTTAGGGTTAGGGTTGAGGATCAGATTAGGGTTAGGTTTAACTTAGGGTGACAGGTTTAGCATTAGGGTTAGATTTAGGGCTATCGGTAGTGTTAGACGTTAGTGTTAGGGTTCTGATTATGGGTAATGTTAGAGGACAGGTTTAGGGCATGGTTAATTAGGGCTAGAGTTAGGGTTATGGTTATGGTTAGCGTTACGGTTAGGTTTAGCATTAGCATTATGATAGTGTTAGGTTTTAGGCTAGCTATGGGCAAGGGTCATGCTTAGGATAGGGTTATTTTTATTATTATTATTTTTATTTTAATTGGAAAGGCGGATGTACATAGAGGAGAGACATTGAGGAAGTCTTCCGTCCGATGATTCACTCCCCAAGTGAGTGCAATGGCCGATACTATGCCGATCTGAATCCAGGAGCCTCTTCCGGGTCTCCCACGCGGGTGCAGGGTCCCAAGGCTTTGGGCCGTCCTCAACTGCTTTCTCGGGTCACAAGCAGGGAGCTGGATGGGAAGTGGAGCTGCTGGGATTAGAACCGGCGCCTATATGGGATCCCGGGCATGCAAGGCAAGGACCTTAACCACTGTGCCACCGCGCCGGGCCCAGGATAGTGTTATTTTTAGTGTTTGTGTTAGGATTAAGTTTAGGTTTAGGGTTGTGGTAGTGTTAGGGTAGAGTTATCATTAGCTTTAGGTTAGTGTTAGGACTTATAGTTAAGGGTTAGAGATAAAATTAGATTTAGTGTTATGAATAGGCTAGGGTTCTGATAGTTTTAGGTGTTAGACTTTAGGAGTTTGGGCTATGGTTTAGGGTTTAACATTAGGGTTAGCAATAATGCTAGGTTTAGGGTTAGGACTAGGTTTTAGTGGTTAGCGTTAGGGTTGGGGTATGTGTTAGAGTTTATGTTTTAGAGTTTGGGTTTAGGATTAGGTTTAGTATTAGAGGTTACAGCTTAGGGTCAGCGTCTTGGTCAGGGTTATGGTTATGCTGAGTGCTAGATTTAGAAATAGGTGTTGGGTCAGGGTTTATGATTAGGGTTAGATGTTATGGTTAGGGTCAGGATTAGTTTTATTGGTAGGATTAGTGTTAGGGATAGTGTTTAGTGTTAGCATTATGGATAGGCTTAGGGTTAGAATTATTATCAGTGATATGGTTAGGGCTAATGTTAGTGTTAGCGTTAATGTTATGGTTGAGGGATAGGGTTAAGATATGTTTTAAGGTTTATGGTTAGTTTATGGTTGGGTTAAGGATAGGGTTAGTGTTTGTGTTAGATTTAGGGGTTACGGGTTATAGTTTATGGTCAGGGTTACGGTTTAGGTTTACGGTTAGTGGTTAGGGTTAGGTTTATGGTCAGGTTTTGGATTAGGGTTAGGGATAGGTTTAGGATCAGGATTAAGGTTTAGGGTTTGAGACAGATTTAGGGTTAAGGTTAGGTTTTAGGGTTACAGTTACTGTTAAGTGTAAAGTTTCGGCATTGGGGTTAGGATTTAGGGCTATTGTTATGGGTTATTGTTATTTTGGGTTATTGTTAGCGTTTAGCGTTAGGGTTCAGGTTAGGTTTATGGCTAGGAGTTACCGGTTAGGGTTTGGGTCAGTGCTAGGGTTAGGGTTAAGTTTTGGGTTTCATTCAGGTTCGGTTTCTGGTTCAGGTTATGTTTATGGTCATGTTTTGGGTTTAGAGTTAGCATTGGGCTTAGTGTAAGGAAAGGGTTAGAGTTTGGTTTAGGGTTATGGGTTATGGTTGGGGTTAGGGTTTAGGGTTAGGCATACTCAGGGTTAGTATTAGGGTTACAGTTTAGGTATTAAGGTTAGGGTTAGAGTTAGGGTATAGGGGTTAGAATTAGTATTAAGTGCTAGGGTTATGGTTAGTGGTTAAGGTTAGTGTTAGTTTAGGGTTAAGGGTTATTGTTAGTGTTATGGTTAGAGTAGGGTTGCATGGCATCCCAATATGCAGTCTTGTCTTCTTTTTCCCTGCCTTCCTCCTGTCAAGCAGCTGAAAAGGTGAAACATGCTTTTTCAAGACCAGAATTGGGTCACAGAAAGATATTGATGTTAGGAACAATTTTTCATTGACCACTTCATGCAGAAGCACACACGCAAAGGGCCCTTCCGTTGTCTTCTCTCATACTTGTTTGGTAGAAATTACGTGATTGTGTGATGCCTGGAACAGTGGTAACCTCCCTGGGATCATATAACCTCTCGCCCGCACTTGAAAGCTGAAGTCCAGAAAGAAGATCAAGAGCAGAAAGATGAGAAAGTCTTTAAGTCTCGAAGCATTGCTGGGCTGTCAATCCAACACAGGGTCACCCATTTCTAGACCTTATGATACAACGTCCCTAGGTGTAAATCAGTTTACATTTTGTGTCACTTGCCATTGACTGCATCAACTCACATTAAATATAAAAAAAGAAAGAATAGCAAGAAAGAGAGAGAAAGAGTAAGAAAGAAAGAAAGAAAGAAAGAATGAAAGAAAGAAAAAAGAGAGAAAGAAAGAAAGAAAGAAAAGAAGCCCGGCGGCATGGTCTAGCAACTAAAGTCCTCACTTTGAACGCGCCCAGGATTCCACATGGGCACCGGTTCTAATCCCAGCAGCTCCACTTCCCATCCAGCTTCCTGTTGTGGCCTGGGAAAGCAGTTGAGGACGGCCCAAGGCTTTGGGATCCTGTACCCGCGTGGGAAACCCCAAAGAAGTTCCTGGTTCCTGGCTTCAGATTGGCACAGCACCGGCCGTTGTGGTCACTTGGGGAGTGAATCATCGCATGGAAGATCTTTCTCTTTGTCTCTCCTCCTCTCTGTATATCTGACTTTGTGAAAAAAAAAAAAAAAGGAAAGAAAAAAAAAAAGCAATTTTAAGGTCTCCCATGGTCTCTCAGATGTCTGGAGCCAGTTCCATCCTTTGCTCACTGAGTTTGTAACTACTGAAGCTGTCACAGCGATACTTGAGTCTGGAGGGCCACTGGTACATCGCCCTGGGAACACGGTGAAGTTCACGCAGCCTTAGGAAATACATGGAAATCCCTGGACTTTCATGTGGACAAGATGCTTCCAAGCAGCTGTAACTCTTCTCCTGGGACAGTGAGCACTGTGGAGCCTGAGAAAGTATTTCAAAAACCTTTGCTCAAGCCATAAAATGCAGCTTCTCTGGCTAGCAGAGTCAGCTGACCTGTGGCTTCAAAACCATGAACTGCTTAGGGCTTACTGAAACATTCCAATTATCTATGTGCAAAAAATGTCTAAACAAACCAAAGGGTGAAGTTAGGACCTTATAAAAGGCCTGCATATTTCAGCTCTTCATTCCCGAGTGTGGGCCTAAAAATAGCCGTCTGCATATTTGTGACATGTAAAATATGGCCACGTCCCGTGGTTCTCTATTTAAGGATGCTCGGACTCTTGTGCTGGGTGGTGGCCACTCTGTCCCTCACCAGTGGCTCTCAGTTCTCAGGCCCACAATGGCTCCATGCCAGGAGTCTCCTACAGAAGCTGCTGAACTATGGCAGAGACCACATCAGTAGCATAACCACAGCAGGTTCTGCTGGGGAATGCCAGAGGCTTAGAGTCCAGAGGAAACCATTTCTAGAAAAATACCTTTGTTTTTTTTTTTTTGTTTGTCTGTTTATATATTTTATTTGGAAATGTTTACACCAAAACCATGGAACTGGAGTTTAGAGACAACGGGTGTCATGAGACAGCATTAGTTTATTATAAAAGAGAAACGGAAATTATTTACATGATGGAAGGTGTCAGACTATCAGTGGAATGGGCAGCTTTGTGGGATGCCATTTCAATAGATTTCAATCTACATATTTTCCAAGAATGTCACCATCTCTAAATAGAAAATAATCCTTATCATCTAGAACTACTTTGGTGCCTCCATATTCTGGAAGAAGAACTTTATCTCCAACTTTCACACTAACTGGCGAAATCTCACCAACCTTTCCTTTAGAGCCCGATCCCACAGCCACTACTGTCGCCTGCAACACTTTGCCTTGGGACTTCTCCGGGAGCATAATGCCTCCTTTGGTGACAGTTTCTGTGGCACTCCTTTCCACCAGTACCTGGGCAAAGAGAGGCAGAAACTTCCTAAATGCTTGTCCCGCCTGCAGGAAAGAGGCAGCGTTGAACTGGAAACGGGCAACAAACACTACTGCAAGCATTTCATCTCATCTCAACATAATTACAGCTTTCCAAAGTGACTGCCCAGACTTCAAAAAATGCCTTTCTTAAAAAGAATTATCTTAAACATACAACATCCAAGGAGAAGAAACGGGTTTACTGGGAGCAATGAAGACTGTTGGGGACCTAAGGCCTGCCTGGAGACTGCCAACACCATAGCCAGGGACATGGTGCCTGTGAATTGTCCTGGAGAGTAGTCTCGGGTTGTGTGGGTGGGAAGACTGCCGAGGAAGTCAATCACAGATGAGGACTGACTTCTGGGGGACTGCCATAGACTGGGCCACTGCAACTGCAGGTAACTGCAGGGGCCGAGACGAGGTGGTTTGGAGTGGAGAAGCTGGAAGGCATGCCTGGTCAAACCTGGGCAGACCAGCTAGAGGTCAGACCTGGACAGGGATAGCTAGCATCAATCACAGCCCACTGGTGCATACGAAAATTAGGGTGAAGAGTCTTGCCTGACAGAACCAGGTCACAGTACTCATGACTGTCACAGCAGAAAGTGGGCAATGTTAGGCTGGGTCATGGTTTGTGGGAGAGAAGGGGTGTTGAAGGCCGAGTTAGGCATGATCACAGGACTCACCGCCACCTAATGGGAACTGGAGTGAAGAGTAGCCTGGACTGATCCAAGCTGCAGCACTTGCAAACACACTCAAGAATTGGGTTTGGGGGATAGGCTGGAACGCAGCAGCATCTACCAGCACTCACGAAGGCCAAGGCTCGGGAATGGACTATGCTGGATAAGGCCCTAACACCTGCTGACATGCGCAACATCTGGGTCTGAGAGCAGACCTGATGGAGGAACTTGGGAAACTCTCCTACTAGGTTGTAGCTCCCACTGGTGAGCATGAGAATTGGGGCTGGGGGTGGGCTAGATCAGGCAGGGCTGCTCTACTTGTTGGCAGGTGTGAGGGCTGGTTAGGGGGTGTAGACTAAGCAAGGCCAGGCCAAGTTGGAACACACTGGCATGCACAGAGCCAGGATGTGGTGTGGGCTGTGCCAGGTAGGCTTTTGTACTTGCCTGTTTGCATGAGAGCTGTGGATGGGAACACATTGGGCGGGACTAAGCTGCAGTACCCACCAGCACAAGTTGAGACTGGGGGTTCACCAGACCATCCCGGCTGCAGTATCCAGTGGCAAATGACAAAACGTTGGATGGGCTATGCTGGGTTGAGTCAGAGCATCCACTGACATGTGAAGATCTGTGTATGTGAACAGGCCTGGTTGGGGAAGCAGGGGCACCCAGGCTGGTCTGTGGTTCCCACTGTGTGAAGGCCAGAACAGGGGCAGTGATTTGGGTTGTGCATGGCTGCAGCATCCTCAACATGGGTGAACTGGATCTGAGTTGTGCCAGACTGGACTAGGCTCCAGCTGGTGTTACTGAGAGCCAGAGTGAGTATAGGACAGGCTAGGCTAGGTCTTGGCACCTGTTGAACTATGCAAGAGCTGTGTCTGGGCATGGACCAGGCATGGCTGGGCTGTAGCATCCAACAGCAAGAGCTGGAATGTGTGTGAGCTAGTGAGGCAAGGCCATTGTACCTTTGGGTACAGGAACTGAGCCAAGTCAGGCTGAACCAAGAACCCACTGATGTATGCGAGATCTGCAACTGAAGGGTCACCTGCCAGAGGAACTTTGGGAACACCTCTGTCGGGATGCAGTCCCTTCAGATGAGTACAACAACAGACAGTGGGAGCAGCCAGGACCAGGCCAGGTAATAGTACCTGCCAGCATACATGTGGGTCAGGTGTGGGAGGTAGGCCGGGTTGGGACAGGGTATAGCACTCACTGGCAGATGTGAGAACCAGGACAGGGTATGGGATGGCCGGTTTGGGCTGCAGCACCAGCCAGTTCCTATTAGGGCCAGACTGGACTAGGCTGCCAGCATAAACTGGAACTGGGGGCAGGCTGGGCAAAGCCAGGCTGAGACACCCACTGGTGAATGCTGAAGTGAGGCAATGTGCCAGACTGGCCTGCAGCATCCACCAGTACATGTTAAGACTCCGGAGGGTTAGAAGTGAGCCCAGTAGTGGGGGTTATGAGGTATCCCCTGTGGGCCACTGCTCCCTTTGGTGAGTGGGCACTGGGGGCAGACCAGGCTGGGCAGGGCTATAACACCCATTGGTCTTCATGTAAGCTGGGTTGAGGGGACAGTCAGGCCGGGCTGACTGTGCAGGCTGGTTGGGCTTTGCTGCAGCACCAACTGGCAAGTATCATGACTAGGAGCAAGTTCTGTCAGGCAAGACTGTAATGCCACCTGGAAAGTGCAAGGCCTTAGGCTGGGTCTGGGTCTGGTGAGAAAACTGGGCATCCCTCTGATGGACTGCAGCTCCCACCAGTTGGCATGAGAACCAGGACTGGGGACAGGTCTAGCTGGAGTGTGGGCTAAGTGTGGGCTAGACAGTGGGGTTGGTTGGGTTGAGCTAGGCTGCAGTGCCCATTGTTGTGTATGAGTTAAATGGGACAGATAGGATCACTGTTTTGCATACCTACATGCGTAGGAGCCAGGGCTGGAGGCAGGCCTGGGAGTTATTAGGGGTCACTCCAACCAGTATGCAGATCCTGCTGGTATGTGTGAGGACCTAGTGTGTGCTGTGCAGGGGTGGGCTGGACCACAGCATCTGTCGGTTTGCGTATGAAATGGGGTTGGGAGCAGAACTGACTTGGCAGTGGAATCCACCAGTGTATGTGTAGTCTGATGCAGACCGAGCTGGACACCACACTGGCTGGCACACACAGGAGTCAGGCCTGGGGTCACCTCAGGAAGTGGTTCTTGGGAGGACCCTCCCACTGGACCACCGGACTCAAAATTCTTAGAATGGGGAAAATCATAGGATCTGTGGTCTGATCGTGGAGTACGTGTGTCAAAACCGGGCCTCAGTTGCTGAAGTCTGGGCAGTGGATGGCATGCCCAGATGCACATGGGGTACATGACAGCTCATTGAGGCCTGCACAGGATATCTAGCCCCATGGCAGAGGACAGAGGGCAGAACAAAATTGAGAACCCTCCTGTCAAGCTTTGACAGCAAGTGTCTGCGAGAATGGACACTGAGGTGGATTAAGTCAGCCAATGGACCTAGGAGGAGTTTCTTCATTCTTGGAGCAATGAAATCCACAGCATCTTAGAATATCAGAACCACTTAAACAGTACTCTCAGAACATGCTCCGCATCGAGGACCATAGGATGACATTGAGTGCCACCCCACATTCCCAGTACTGATGTAGTAAGGAACAGTACTTTCCCCTTTCTTTCTCCTTTCCCCTATATACCGGAAGATTGAAAAAAAAAATTGGAAGCAATTGTCTTATCCGTTTCCCCACACCTAGACCCTCCCCACCCTAATCAGTGGTCTGCACGGGCGTGAATACTTCTCAACTATGTAAACATCATCAAAAATAAAACAAGCTTCCAGTTTGCCTTTTGTGTCACTGTCGATGTGAAAAAGGGACTTAGATGAGCCAAGTGGGTGGTCCCTAACATCCTACACAACCTTGAGATCGAGGGCTGAGTTTGCACACCATTCAGGGCTTCTGCCTACCTCCTCCGCTCTTCCCCTTTTAGAATCCTTGCTGCCTGGGCCCGGCGCGGTGGCGCAAGTGGTTAAAGGTCCTCGCCTTGCCGCCCCCCCCCCCCCCCGGATCCCATATGGGTGCCGGTTCTAATCCCGGCAGCCCTGCTTCCCTTCCAGCTCCCTGCCCGTGGCCCGGGAAGGCAGTCGAGGACAGCCCAAAGCTTTGGGACCCTGCACCCGCGTGGGAGACCAGGAAGAGGCTCCTGGCTTCGGATCGGCATAGTATCGGCCCGTTGCGCTCACTTGGGGAGCGAATCATCGGACGGAAGATCTTCCTCTCTCTCTCTCCTCTCTGTATATCCGCCTTTCCAATAAAATAATAATAATAATAAATCTTTAAAAAAAAAAAGAAACCTTGCTGCCTGCACATCAGACACTTCAGTAAACATTTCCTAGGTGGACAGAGGAGTGTCCACTAGAGTCGACTTGTTGAGATGGGTCCACACAGGCTGACTCTAAGCTCCCTTTCTCATGGCTTGGTCAGGGAAGGGGGCTGTGCCACGAGCAAGCTTCCCCGTCCCAGGATTCTCCTGTGGCGAGCGCTGTGGTCAGGGAGCTGTGCGGGACCCCTGGGGTTTCCATGCCAGGTTGGTGCTCAAGGCTGGGAGGATTATAAACATCAGGGGAACAGTGGAGGGTTAGGAGCATAGAGATGTAACTTTTGACAGTATTTGTGCTTTACAGAAGCTGAAAAAGAATCTTTTTTTTTTTTTATTATTTGTTCAAGCTAGCCTGACTACAATTTCTGACACTTGCCACGGGAACCCCACAGTTATTTTTACCCGCTTGTGTACCAATCTCTCATTTCCGTTCAAATAAGGTCAAGTATTTTATACAATCATAGTAAGGAATTCTCTGGAATTATGAAAATCCATTTTGTAAAGCAAATACTCACTTTGACGTTCATTTTCTAGGTATGTCAATTTGTCTTCTGGTAGTAGATTTACTAACTCACTCGGGCTGTTACCAACTGGATGGAATTAACACTTGAAATTCAGTTGTTTCAGAAAGCATTTATTCAAGTTTTTCATATTCAGTTTGAAGCTTAAGAAAAATTTATTAGTTACAAATTTATTAGTTACATTTTATCTTAGATAAAAATAACATATCCACTTAGTAAATAAAATGTAGTCAAATATTTGCTTAGTAAAAAAGGTTAAAAATTATTTGGGTTATAATCAAAGAAACATAAAGAGGAATCTGTGGAAAGATAAGCATTTTTCCAAATAAAATCTCAATAAAAATACTAAGCATTCTCCAACATTTCCTATAAAGAATAAATTATCTCCAGTTAACATCTTTTTGCTTTCAGTGCTAGAAAAGCTGTTACAAATTTGATTACACTCATGCTACAAAGTTCTCTAGACATGAGTCTTATAAAACTGCCTGTAAATTTGCTCAGTGACACAAAATTCTAAGAATGACACCGACTAGGGTAGGGAGAGAAATGCTTGCTGATATTGACACGGTGGGCAGACAGGCAGGCCCGTTAGAGCAGAAACCACTGGGAGGATTCTGCTAACCAGTACAGCTACAAAGGTACCCTAAAAGCTGAGACAGAGACCTGCTGGCTGGGTGGGGCTCAGGATTTGTTTTTGAGGTGTTCAGAAACAGATTCTGGCCAGACTTCCAGTTTGAGTCAAATCTTCTTGACTTTGTAGCTGCCTAACTAAGGGGCTTGGTGAAAAACCCAAACGCCTTTCAGATTTAGTCTTGCTAGACAGTAAGCTATGGAACCCGCTTAGGAAATGAAACCAACACAGCAAGTCAAAAGCAGGGTTTCTGGCCCCAGAAGAGATTTTGCGTGTTAGCGGGGCAGGAAAGGAAGACAGGGGACCGGAGTGCAGATTCTTTGCTAAAGGTAAAGGGCAGGGGGAGGGCGGGAAGCAGAGCGACGGATGCACAAAAAGGGACCGGGGATCTGTCGCTCGGGTGTTCTGCATGGTATCTGCCAGTGTGCCCACCACCCACCTCGAGGGTGGTGGTTACTGTCCACATGTACTACACACACGCAGGCTGCCACCTGCAGCTTTTCCCACTCTGTCTAATCTGCTAAAATGATCTAGAAATCTTAAAAGCCAGGCTGGCACAGGAAGCTTTAACACCGTGACTCGTCCTAGCATGCTCAGACTTGAACCCGAGTCCACAGAGGAAGGACAGCCATGCACTTCTGGCTTGATGCTTTCTTTCTAGAACAAATGGGGCTGACTGTGCAGCACTGGACCCTTAGCTCCAGGTCTGCATTCCATCCCAAGATCAGAGATGTGAGGTTCTGCAAAGAACTCTGCAGCAAAACTGAAGGTTCAAGTGAAGTGACAGGAGGACCCGGGCCACTGTCCCTGGGATGAACACCTGGGGATATTTTCAGCAGACTCAAGTGTGTCACCTCAACAGATGGTATTTAGAAGCTATTTTGTCAGGCCAGAGGGGCACTTACTGCTGGCATGTGCTCTGAAATGGGGGTGGGGCTCAATGCGTCTCCTCCACGCTCCGACCAACTCGAGTCAGGCCAGCACACCGTGGCCCTCCTGGCGTGCTCGCTGCAGACTCTCCTTGAAAACAAGCAACTCACACCAATGAAATGATTAGCAGTCAAGACAGCCTCTGTGATGTATCTGAAGACGACTAAACAAAAGAACAATTTACTTTATAATGCTTTTAATACAAAAGCATTGGGTTTTCACGTGTCATAGAACTAAAAATCTTTGGATTACATAAATGTTTCTAAAAAGGTGATGGCTTAACAGTTTCTAAAATTCAGAAAGAACAAAAGGTAACTGATTGCAGCCAGTGTGGTTGGAATGGGGTCAACAGGCAATTCATTCTTGTGTCAGATCAGGGAATGTTCACACAGCCGTGTGTGTGTGCGTGCAAGCGTGCGTGTGCACAGAGTAGACGTGAAGGCTCCCTCGGTGTCACTGCTGCCATCAGACGTGCTCTTGCCTGCTTGCCTGCCAAGGCCATTGGACGGGAACACCCCTCTGCACAGTAACCCCGCTGCTGGAAAGGACTGTGCGTTCCCATGGCAGGGAGGAGGCCTGCAGCCCAGGAGACGTCCTCTGGGTTAGGAAGGAGCCTGACACAACAGCTCCCTGGTTGGCATTCTCAAGGCCCACAGTCTGAGATGGCTCCTGGCAAAGGTGTGTTCCTTGGAGACCTACATTTCAATTATGAAAAGTGTGTACAGTAACCTTGACACCCGACAGGACAGCCAAATGTCTCCTGGGTATCAAAGGCAGGTGAGGCCACGGGGGACAGACTGTCTCGTAATGGGAGGAACCCCTGGGGTGAGGACCAGCTGGTGTTCTAGTTGGGTGATGTCGCAATGGAGCAGGGTGACAGTCCTCACACCCTGAGGGAAAGGAGGAGGCAGGAAAAAGACCACAGCATTCCAAGAGGCCAGAGAGGCCCTGTCGCCGTCGGCATGCTTCCGGGGCAGCCAGCTTTTCCAGCTGGACGGCACGTGAGAGACAGCAGCTTACTAGGGCTCCAGGACGGAGAGCGGCGCTCTGTTCAGTGCAGAACCACAGCACGTGGGGACAGGGACGGCTGCGTGAGGGGGGCTCGCTGCTCCTGGGGCAGCTGTGGTGGCTCTACGGTGCTTACCAGTCAGTCTGCCCTGGAAGTGAAGACCCCAAAGCTTCTGCTCCAACACTGTGGAGAACTGTACAGACACGTCCTGTTGAGACACGCCACAGGGGAGAGCAAGTCCGCTGGGTCCGCTGAGCGGCGTCATCAATGTGTTGGCCTCACCCCTCAGGGAACAGTCAATGGAACGGAAAAGACGAAGGAACGACCAGCCGGGTCCTGGGCTCCGCCTCAGCGACACGACCGACCGTCATTCGCACAGACATACACAGGAAGTCAAAACCAGCTTTAACATTTGAAATAAGAAAAAAAAAAAAAAGGACAACAATCTGGGATTCTTAAGGCAAAAATCATAGAAAAAATCTCTTTAAATACACATTTTATTACATCCAGAGGCGATAAAATCCCAGAGCTACTGTTAGGCATGTAAATACAGACCCTGTAAAAGGAAAGCAATGAAGTGCAATGTTAGTCCTTCTAGAAGTTACTTGAGGGCACATAATTTTATTAAGCACACATACACAGTCACTTAACCACCAAGAAAACCTCGTCTGCTCGTGTAGTTCCTAAAATATGGAAACACCTCACACCCTGACATCATTTTTTCACAGTACAAACGCATCCAATATACAAGAAAGCTTTTCACTAAAGTTTAGAATCACAAAAAGTCTGTCACAAACTATATACTCCTGGGCCACACAGGGAGAGACGCACTTTCCTATAAAGAACAAATGTCACTGCGCAGCACGCCTCTGTGACCAGCCACCTCCACCTAAGCACTTCCCTTACTAAAAAATACTCGGTGAATCCACAGCGTCAAATCTGACTTGAAACAGTGGGGTTTTCTTTTCACACATGAATCTTCATTTTGTGCTTGGGCTCAAATACTGTAAAGAGCGAAACAACTCCTTTACACAGAAGTGTCTCTGGGGCAGTCATTGTGGCACAGTGCATAGAGCTGCTGCCTGTGACGCTGGCATCCCATATGGGCACTGGTTCCAGTTCCGACTACTCCCTGCTAATGTGCCGAGGAAAGCATCAGGGGCTGGTCCGAATGCTTGGGGCCCTGCACCCATGTGAGAGCCAAGCAGCAGCAAGGGGTTCTTGGCTTCTGCCGTTATGGAGTGAGCCAGCACATGAAAGGCATCAGTCTCTCCTAACTCTGCCTTTGAAACAAACAAAACCACGATCTTTAACAAACACTGTCATCAATTGAAGCAGCAGCGCCCAGCTCTAAAATCTTCCATCTTATTCATAAACTTTTCTTTCTTGATTTCAATAAAATCCCAGACAGTCATACACCAGTTACCTTTTCACATTTAAGATTCCTTTAACTGTGAATACATCATTATTTTATTACTATTAGGACTTACTATCAGGAAATAAAAAAATGCTGGCTGACATAAGATTTACATCTTCTGGAAATTCTAACAAGCCTTCCAATTTCAGAGCTGTTCAAAAATGAAAACGTCACAGACCAGCTAAGGCAGTGCTGTCGCTGAGTTGCTGTATAGAGGACTTCTTTTCAAGTTGTTTCAAATACTTAGATAGAAAGCGGCTTACCTGCTAAATATTTAATAGTATCAAGCTTGTGCGCTTCGAGCATGGTTTTGAGGCCAGCAACCTCCGTTTCTATCTTCCTGTCTGTCTGGGTGAGGGCCCGATCTTGCTGGGCATGCTTCAACACAAAGAGGTTCAGAGGGTTAGGGGCTTTAGTTCTGTCTGCTCTGCCCTTGGCGCGAGTTCCTGCCTGGCTGGTGTGGGCTCAGGGGGCACTTGGGTGTTACCAATCGAGCGTGATCACCCATGTAAGACCACTCTTGGGGGCTACACCCTCACAAATAAAACCCCCTTGGTGCAAGGGGTACCAACAGACCCAAAAGCTCTGTCAGGAAATGGGTGGAGCCCCGCATAGTCACCTAAAAGCCCAATGTGTTTATCCCAACACTGTCTCTACTCACTTTCATCACGACTCTTCTTTCACAATTCAAACATCACGTGTCTTATTCAGACGAGGCTTGGTTACCTATGGCCAATTTGTATCCTTCCTCAACACAATCCAGTAATTCATATTATATTATATTATATTATATTATATTATATTATATTATATTATATTATATTATATTATATTATATTATATTATGTTTTTAACATTGTATATATGTAATTAATCTCCAAAGGCAGTGGGTTTGGTTGGTATTATCTTAAAGCGATTGTGCAGCTGCATTAATGCATAAAACATCGGGGATGCTGTACTAAAAATCCTAGACTAATGTGGCATTGCCTAAGGTTACCAATTCAGGAAAAAAAAAAAATCAATGTCTGGAGGAGAGACAAGGTCTATTTTTCAGAGAAACAGTCCAGTACTATAGAATTCTCTCATGGTAGCACCTTCTAGGTTTCAGAGGTCCCAGGCAATGTGGTGTGGACAAACAATAATGCATGGTATAAATGAAAAATATATTACGACTTCTCTACTTCCTACGATTAGCCAATCATGGAGATATAAGCTTTCATTAAGACAATCAGGCATTCCATTAAGCACAAAAATTCCTGACACTCAACCTGTGGGTACACACCCAAAACACTGCTAGTGGGAACGCCACTGTGCCTGCACACCTGTGTTCACTGCAGCATTAATGGCATCTGAGCAAAGGTGGAAGACAGCGAGAGTCCACTGACAGATGGCTGACACACACATGGCGAATACCACGACTCAGCCCTAAAAGGAAGACGTGCCTTCACGCGCAGCTGTGTGGGACATTATCCTAAGTGAAATAACTAGTCACAAACAGAGATTCTGCATGATTCCATTGACGAGGTATCTGGACAGCCAGATTCCTTAACAAAGTAGGGCGACGGTTCAGCCAGGAGACAGGGAAGAGGAAACGAGCAGTTAACGCTGAAGGACTACGGAGCTCCTGTTTTAGGAAACAAGAATTCCACGACAGACAATGATGACAGCCGCATACAAGCGTGAATGTACTTAATGTCACGGATTGGTACACTTCAAAATAGGTAAGATGGCAACTTTTATGCTACACAGATTTAAAACAATCCCATGACCCCAAACCTGGATGTATCTTTCATGATGAAGCAAAGATGAATCAAAAGAAACAAGTTAAAGGTTTCATTTCTTACCAACTCCACTACTTCTGTCCTCAACTGCAGCAGCTTCCTTTCATTCAAGGCGTACTGAAACAAACACGTCACATGAATCAGGAGCTGTTCCACAGCCCTCTCCTCCTCTGACAGCTGCTCCTGTGGCGTCTTGAACATCATGGTTCATGGTGGCACTGTGGGGCAGCACGGTAAGCCACTGCTTGTGAGGCTGGCATCTCACACTGGGGTTCTCAGTCTGAGTCCTGGCTGTCCTGCTTTGCTCCAACTTCCTGTTAACATACTTGGGAAGGCACTCGATGAGGGCCCACGTACTTGGGCCCCCGCCGCCCACATGGCAGATCCAGATGGAGTCCCTGCCTCCCGAACAGTCTGTTCTAGCTCTGGCAGTCAAGGGCACTGGGAGTAAACCAGCAGATGCAAGATCTTTATCACTCCGTAACTGATCGATTAACTGATTTAAAAACCCCAATAAACAGTATATTTTCAGTACTTCTGAGAACACATAACACCATAAAATCACCTCTGGGATGGAGTGCCTGCCTGCCTGCCTGCCTCATTCTTAGTACTTGTTGGGGTTTCCTGTTCTCACACATGGCTGCAATGCCTTCTGCCTCTCTGTTTTTCTCCTTTCGTCTTGTTCCTGGGATGCTCCTAGCCATCTCTCACTACCACAGTGGCATTCCCTGGCAGCAATGTGGATACTTTCAGCATTTGAGGAGTTGAAAACAGTGGAGAACGAATTCAAGTTAGGAGCTACCCATCATGACTATGTGCAAAATACATCACTGCTTGAGGTTCAGACAGCAAAGACATTGCGTTGTGACTATGGAATAATATAAAAGTACATTTAGCTATCACTTTTTAAAGTAAACATAGTCAACTGTTCTTTTTAATTTTTAAAAATGGATTAATTTAGGGCCCGGCTTGGTGGCCTAGCAGCTTAAGTCCTCACTTGAATGCGCCAGAAGCCCATATCGGTGCCAGTTCTAATCCCGGTAGCTCCACTGCCATCCAGTTCCTTGCTTGTGGCCTGCGAAAGCAGCTGAGGATGGCTCAAAGCCTTGGGACCCTGCACCCGCATGGGAGACCTGGAGGAAGTTCCTGGCTCCTGGCTTTGGATCCAGGCGGCACCAGCTGTTGCAGTAGCTTGGGGGGGTGAATCATTGGACGGAAGATCTTCCTCTCTGTCTCTTCTCCTCTTTGCATATCTGACTTTCTAATAAAAATAAATAAATCTTTTTTAAAAAATGGATTCATTTAAGAGGCAGAGAGACACACTGATTAGGGAATGAACAAGCATCTTCTTGCGGGTTGACTCCCCAAATGCCTGAAAAGCTGGTGCCGGGCCAGGTCAATACCAGCAGCTGTGAACTGTAGCCACGTTTTCCACGCAGGAGACAGAAATCCGGGCATCTGATCCACCACTGCTGCCTACCAGGGTCTGGCTAAGCAGGGAGCTGGCGTTAAGAGTCAGAAATGAGAACTGAACTCAGGTGCTTTAAATGTCAATGGAGAAGTCTTATCTGCTAGGCCAGACACCTACCCCTACATGTAGGCCCGCACAATAAGAAGACTGTGGGGCAGCTGCAATTCAGTTTCTAAAAGCACTGACTGGTTAACTTAATATTAAAGCGATAGGTGATATCATGCCTTTGGCTACTAATGTCCATGAGAAGATTTAGTGCAGCTCTACTGACACCAAGATCCAAATCAGAAATGTATCTTTAGTAGTGGGTACCGAGATTTAATTGAGCAAATGACAATCTGTAATTTAAATGAATTTTAACAACTAACTTAACATTTTATACAGGAGAAAGTTAAAAGTTAAAGTTCTGAACTATGCAGACACTTTCTATTAAATGTAAGAAAACAAACACACACAAACATTAAAACTCCAAACTATAAGACTCCAAGATCAGAGAAATGCCATTTAAAATGCCAGGGTTTCAGAACAAGTGTGTAATCTGCCGGATCACCACCAGAGGGCAGGGTGGAACCAAGTCTCCTACTCATCTCTCAGCGCTAACCTTCACTGAATTCTCTGCTAGAGAAAAGCCTAGATCCTGATGCTGCCATGATTTTTAGAAAAGATCCATTTATTTGAGAGTCAGTGTTGCACAGAAAGAAGAGACAGTCAGAAACATACTGCAATACTCCATCTTCCGTTTGACTCTACTGAGATGACTGCAATGGCACTGGCTGAAGCTAGGAGCTTTATCCTGGGTCACCCACAGAGGTGGCAGGGGCCCAAACGGACCATCGTCTGCAGCTTTTTCCAGGCCACCAGCAGGGACCTGGGTCAGAAGTGAAGAAGCCACGACATGAAATAGCACCCACACTGGATGCCAGGTTTGCAGTTTGTGGCTTTATTGGCTCTGCCATATTTTTTAAAGTAACGTCTACACGGCTCTCCATCTCCCTGTTGCTCCAACAGTTTGTATGTCACATTGCTTTTGAAGTTGGTTGTCAGGGCTGCAGCTGTGGCATAGCTTGTTAAGTCACTGCTTGCAGTGCTGGCGTCCCATATGGATACCAGTTCTAGTCTTGGCCACAACACTTCGGATCTAGCTTCTAACATACCTGGGAGGCAACAGAGCAGGATGGGTCCCTAGATCCATGTGGGAGACCGGGAAGAGGCTCCTGGCTCCTGACTTTGACCAGGATCAATCCTGGCTGTTGAGGCCACTTGGAGAGTGAAACAGCAAATGGAAGACCTCTGACTCTCCCACTCTCTCTCTGTAACTCTGCCTTTCACATAATAAAAACAGATCTTTAAAACAACAACAACAAAAAAAACTGGCTGTTGAGATCACCACAGTTCATTTGTAATCTAATTTAAGACGATAACTTAACCAAGGGAATGAGAGGGCCCAGTCCCCCACCTGCATCAACATGAGGTACACACACAGCTGTACCATGCCTGCAGAGTGATCCGAGTTTAGGATTACAGTGCCAAGCAATTTCTCAGCCAGGTCGGGGCATCCCAGGAGCTGACACTCATCAACATCTGCCTCCTAGAGCCGCCTCTTCTCAGCTAACCACAGGCACACAATCATCTTCCCCAGCCACTGCAGCCAGAGTCTCTCCTGAGGAAAAAGGCAGCCATGGATTTGCTGCTCCTCCACCTCCCAGACACATGCCCGAGGTCAGGAAATATCTTAGTGATGCTAAGCGATTTAGCTGTTCATGTTTGAAAAGCATTGTAATTCTATAAAGACGAGGAAGAGAGGTATAATAATTACACTGTACAACAAACAAAGCCCAATTCAGTTCTTGAAATCTCAAGCTCCTGTCTGAGTCTCAACATTAGCTTTATTTGTCATCACAGCCCACTTGGATGAAAAGCAAGTCATAGTAAAGGGGAAGAGGAAGAACAGCAGGTGCACCGAGAGATGTCCACGTGCCCCAGCCCTCCTCAGGCTAATAAGAAAGGCACCCTCTAGCCAACAGCGCCAGTCTGAAGGAGTCTCAGCGAGACCCAGGAGTTTCCAGTGACCAATCACCACTTAAACCGCACATGTCTTTAAAACATATGCCCTGCCACCAACAACAGAAAATATCCATTATCGAATGACAATTATTCAAGTGTGAAACAATTACCCTAAACTCCCCTTTTTATTCACAGGCAAAATTTAGGCCAAATGGAACTTTTTAAGTCAATATTAAATAGATTCACACTGAGTTCATTATTATTATTAATAATGTTCACGTAATTTAGTGTGTCTGAAACAAAAAAGTTTTAAACTCAACTGGATCAAGATTTTAATGTTACTTTGAGAGAGCCATAATTCAAAACATAAGTAACATTTTAAAATTCCCTAGCATCAATTAAAAAAGGATATTTATCAGAACTTGTGACTTGCATCCCAACTTAGACCTAAGTGAGTACCCCATCCTGAAATGAAATTATCTGTTTTTAGTAAAGGAACATACCAATTCTTTTACTCTGCTCTTTTCTAGATTGAAGTCTAATTTGGTATCTGTTCGGACTTTGAGCACTTCATCCTAGTAGGAGGGTAAACAACAAAGAGAGATCCAAAGTAAGAAATACAAGCCTTTTGGGGGCCACACCTGCTGCCTGTGTCCCCAGGGAGACAACCAAGGCCAGGGCTCAGCCAGTGGCTTCCGAAGACAGCCTGGACCTGGCGATGTCCAGGGCTCTGGCTGAGTCCAACCTGGAGTTGGTCCGGTCTCAGGGTCTCCAACCCCCCGTTCCATGTACATAACTCCTTCTAGAGTAGGTTATCGTCACTTTTAACCTCAGCACCCATCCCCAATAGAATCTCCACTGTGACATGTATGAATAAACTTATTCCTCGGACAACTATACAAAGATGGATTCCAAGAAGCAAAATACTAATGGTTTAAATGAAGTCTTCTCTATGACATTCACCAAAGCCTCTTCCTTTTGAACATCTATGTCCTAACTAAAATAACAGCTGATACATTTAAGAACCACATATAATTCTCCAAGAAGTTTCAGTTAAGACAATCTAAAGGTTTCACCTGAATATTTTAGAAAAATTGACAACCACTCGGAACATTTAGAAATTTCCTAAATGAATTTATAGACAGCAATAATTTATCCATTGGTTGTGTTCTTAGATAAATCTTCCAATGTGTATTACAGAGGCATATTACACAGGAATTTCACAAAAAATTACATTTTTAAAACACAATATATTTTGGAGAGTGGGGAAAGCAAATGAACAAACAAACCATATTTTTTAACATTATATTTAGTAGTAAGTGTATTACAAGTAAGAATTACAAACAAGCTGACAAACAGGAACTCTTACCGCCACTTGCTGTTTTAACTGATGTAGTTCAAGCTTTATTTTCTAAAAACACATTTGAAAAGAGACAAGTCAAGAATATGTTCAGAACAATCGGAAGTGGCATGCACACTTGGTAACCATCTGTGTGTGTGACGAACGAGGGAGATCCTACGCTTGTACCCTAGTTCTCTCTCCCTCAACACAAACTTCTACCTTCAGGAAACACCACAGTAACTCAACAGGGACACCACCGCGCATGTGTGCGTTCTGAAGCCAGTTTTGATGCATAAAACTTACGTAACATTATTAACACCTGCTTCTGATATACACATTGGCCTTCAGTAACTCTGCCTTCCTAAATCCTTCAATGTTTCTTTTAACTAATTTTTTTTCCCATATACAGGTGACCTTGAGGACAATTTTGACAAGTGCAAACTTTGCCTTTTTCTTTATGAGGCTAAAATCAAGAGACAACAGACGGCCCTTGCTTATGGGAGTTTAAACAGGACTGAAAACACAAAGAAGGTGCAGAGGCAACACTTAAATGCCGACCCACGGGCCACCTTCCAAAGACACGCAAGCGCTTCCTGCAGCCACACTTCATTCTAGTAATTCCAAACAGGAAATGATTCCAAAACACGTCACACTAGGATGATGTGGCATGTTCAGTAATACCTCAGGTAATGGAAAAGATACCCTGTGCGATTTCATCAACTGGAAGCTCCACGCCGAGACACACCTCGTCAAAGTGGCATCCTCCTCCGCAGGAGCGGCGGCCAGAGGGCCTTGAGGAGAACTGCAGGGGAACCGAGTATGCTCCAATCTCCATCTCACTGGTCCCTGTACTCTTGGTGCAAATCCACCTGGATGTCCTTCTGCAAGTTTATTATGTCCCAATGTCACATCTGGTAGGTGTGAGTAGGGGCTCTGTAATTTTACCTCATTTTCTGCTCGTAGGGCTGAAAATTCACTCTTTTCCAAAATAATCATATCCTTTTTCACAGCGGCAATCTTAGACATGATTTGCTGAAGAGTGATCTCCTATGAAAAAGAAAACAGGTAATGTGGTCTAGCCTAGGAAATCCACCTGCTAACATCTTCATGAGAAACATGAGGCTGTGGGACTGACTGGCTCCGGCCACACCCCTACTGAGTGTTAGCTCCCATATCACATTATTGCAAATAATCTCCCATTTCAGATTCCAGGTTTGCTCGCCCAGGCCCACAGCGCTGACCTGCTGCACCTTGGTGACCATATCTTTGTAGATGATGTCCATGTTGGTCTCCATGATCTTGACCAATGCCGACACAATGATTTCCGCTTGTTGAGTAGTAAACCCTACGCATGCAATAAACAAGACCGCCATAGTCAGAACTGCAGTTGTCAGAAAACCGATGAACAAACCCCACAGCACACTTACACATTCACGGCACTGTGTGAATTCCAAAGCGGGAAAAGCAGAGTGCCAAAAGCCATGTTTTCAAATAATGCTCAATGACAAAGAGAATGCCTGTGACACAATGTCAATTGAGAAAAGGCAAGACTCAAAATTGATCCAAGTATTGTGTCTCTGATATAAAAATCAAAGTGAATTCTACTTTCTTTATGTTCATTTCTTACCTACATTTTGCACAGGCACTAAAATTTCCTTAAAATATGTTTAAAAAATTGAGCCCGGCATGATAGCTTGGTAGCTAAATCCTTGCCTTGTATGCACCAAGATTCCATATGGCCACCAGTTTGTGTTCCAGCTGCCCCAATTCCATTCCAGCTCCCTGCTTGTTGCCTGGGAAAACAGTCGAGGATGGCCCAAAGCCTTGGGATCCCGAACCCAAGTGGGAGACCCAGAAGAAGGTCCTGGTTCCTGACTTTCAATCTGCTCAGCTCTGGTCATTAAGGCTACTTGGGGAGTGAACCAGAGGACAGAAAATATTTGTCTTTTGTTCTCTCTATAATCTGCCTTTCCAATAAATAAAATAAAAAAAATATATTATGGTTCGGCCGTTGAGTTGGGGCAAAAGCTGCTCCCTGCAGTGTGGCAGTTGTGGGGGGTACCCCAGCCAGGCCGGACCCAATGCTGGGGACTCAGGTTAAAGTCAATTCCGACAGGTGATGACCAAGTCCTAGGCTTTGGGGGGCCAGTGTACCAAGTGGTTCCAGGCTCTGCTGGCTAGCCACCTGGTGGAAGCTCTGGGGTTTTTAGGATATGTAATTTCTGCCTAGGGACACTCATTGATAGGCCAATGTGAGTGTAGGTGAGGGATGAGTTTTGAGTGATTTCCAGCAATGGGGTCACAGAACATTCTGGAAAGCATGGGGACTGAGACCTGGTGGTTTGGAGGGGAGAGTTCATAAGATCTATTTGGGCCAGACTGATTCACTAGCCCAACTGGGAATCCTGAGATGGGCTGTTAGCATAGAACATCACTGACTGCCACAACCAGTCCACACAAAAGTTATGGATGGCGGCCTGTCTGGCAGGGCTAGGTACCAGTACCTGAGTGAGGGTGGAACAGGGGACCTGGCAGGATCAAGACACTAACCAGCATGCAAGAGAACTCAGACGGGGGTACACTCTGTGGGGGAAGTGTGGGCCCAACCCTGTGAAATATAAGTCCCACAGGTTATCTCACGAGCTGCAGTGCTGAAGGGCTAAAGCTAGGAGTGACCATGGCACCTGCCATCACTAATGGGTAAAGCAACGAATGGCAATCTGGGTAGGTCAAGGCAGCAGCACCCAAAGGTGCATCCTAAAATAGGATGTGGGGTGGGCTGAGCTGCAACTGGAAGGGGGTGGGCTGGGCAGGGCTGAAAACTCAACTCACAAGGAAGAACAGAAATCAGGATGGAGCACATGTCATTCTGACCTAGGCTCTTACATCAACTGGTCTGCATGAGGCAGGGATAAGAGGCCACAGCATTGAAGGCAAAGACTGAGACAGGTGATGGGCTAAGTCAACTGGGTCAGAGCACCCAAGGACACATGCACAATGTAGGGCTGGGAGGAATAGGCTTAGTTGGGGAGCTGTGAGAGTATACCCTTGCTGGGTTGGGGTTCCCATGGGAGAGTGCAGGGGCCAGAGTGGGGGCTGAGTTCTGGTCTGGATATGGCTGTAATCTCCTCTGGCACAAGTGTGGACTGAGGCTGGATACACTGAGCCAGGCTAGATGCCAGCACCATCTGGTGCTCTGAAGAACCTGGGCAGATGTAGGATGGACCAGGCTGGGTCTCTGCCCAAAATGAGCTATGAGTGAGCTATGTCTGGGTATGGACAGGCCTTGGTTGGGCTGAAACATCCAACAGTAAGATCCGTAATGGATTGAAGGCCAGCAAGGAGGGAGGGCCAATGGAACCACCAGTATGTGCAAGATCTGGTATAGAGAGATTTTCTGAAGGAGGAGCTTGGGCAGCTCCTCTGTTGGGACATAATTCTTGCAGGCAAGTACAAGAACCATGACAGGGAGCAACCCAGACCAGGCAGGATGAAGATACCTACTGGCATACATTTGGCATAGGTCAGGGACATTCCAGGCGGAACCACGTCATCTGCTGGTGAATCTGAGCACCAGAATAGTGTGGGTCAGGTCCGGGTTCGGTCGTGACACAAACCAGTGCACATTATAGAATGCCAAGGCTAGGTGAACCATACCAGATATGGTTACAGTGCCCAAACAGCACACATGAGAACCAGGGGAGAGGGGGCAAAGTTGGAATGTGGGCTCCCCTGCTGGACAACCACTTCCACTGGAGAGGGCGAGTTGGGATGGGGCAAACCAGACCAGGCAGGGGTACAACACCTTTAGGTTTCATGTGAGCTAGATCAGGGAAAAGCCAGGTTGGACTGTTCTGACTGGTACAAGCAAAAATTAGAGTGGGTGAGGGTTGGCTGGGCTTTGCCATAGCATTAGCTGGCAGAGGCTGGCACTGGGGGCTAAATCTGTCAAACTTCAGAACCACCTGGAGAGTGCATAATCCGGGAGTTAGAGTGGCCTAGAAGGGCACCTCCATCTTGGGTTACCACTCCCACCAGAGAACACGAAAACCAGGACAGGGGCAGGAGTGGCTAGACAGAAAGGCACCTGCCAGTATGTGTGTAGGCTGGATAGTAGGGTTGGTTGGGTTAAACTAGGCTTCAATGCCCACTGACATGTATGAGGGCTGAATGGGATGTGGGACAGACTGAACAAGTTCGCGGTGCATAGTTGCAAGCATGGGAACCAGGGCAAGGAGCAGCCCGGGTGGGGGTTATGGGGAGTCATCCCAACTAGGCTGCAGCTCCCACTGATTTGCGTGAGGGCCAAGTATGAAGTGGGCAGGATCAGACTGGACTACAACACTCACTGGTTTGCATGGAAGACAGGGCTAGAAACAGAACTAACCCAGCATTTGCAACCACCAGCATGTGCATAAGCTGATTGGGGCAACAGACTATGCCGGACCCTGTACTGGCAAGCACACACAAGAATCAGGTCTGGGATCATCTCAGATGAAGTTTCTTTGGAGATCCCTCCAATTGAACTGCTGATCTCAGAACCCCAACCAGGAAGAGACTATGTCAGCCAGTGGATTCTGAATAGATTTCATCATGCTTGGGACGGCGAGATTGGCAGCAATTCAGACCTGTTGGACTCTCAAAACTGCTTGAGCAGGACCCTTGGAGCATGCCCCACAGATATTGGGGATCTGGGATGGGTGGGAGGCTGGGTGGGGCTTTTCCCTTTGTTTCTCCCCTGACCCCACATACAGGGGAAAAATGATTAAAAAAAAAGTATTGTTACAAGTAATATACTTATATAGGAAACCTTAATTATTTCACATACGGCATAAATTAATCAAATAATTGACTATGCAAATCGTAACCTAACTGCTAGTTCACTTAATAGTATGAAACAATTCTTTCACAATATTCTTCATTCTCTAGTTTGAGGGACCTCAAATTAGGGAAATAAACAAATTAGTTGATTTTAAAAAATTTATTTATTCTTATTGAAAAGGCAGCTTTACATAAGAGACAAAGACCTGAGCCAGAGTTCACCTGAGCACTGTTTTTTTCCCATTAACTTTACACTTGATCTTAGCGAGATGGCCATTAACTGCTTCCATCTGTGGCAGCACAGTGGGTTTAACTTCTAACTGTGGTGCTGGCATCCCATGTTCCAGTTCTTGGCCACTTGAGCCTGGCCCTGCCCAGCCACTGCAGTCAGCTGGAGAGCAAACCAGCAGAAGGAAGATTTCTGTCTCTGTTTCAAATAAATCCATCTTAAAAAAAAAAAAAGAATTTTAAAAGATTGTTTATTCTTGTATTCTTACAGAGTTGTTACTGAGAGAAGCTATAGTTTGGATGAGATTAAACATGTAATTAGAACAAGAAGCAAAGACAACAAAAGACCAAAACACTTAACAAGCCAATGGCCCTTCAAAGACTTACTTGAACTGTGTTTAAAACCCACTATCTTGTTTTGAAGATTTACTTATTTATTTGAAAGGCAGAGTTATAAACAGATAAGGAGAGACAGAAAGATGGATCCTTCATTTCCTGGTTCCCTCCACAAGTGGCCACAATAGCCAGGAGCTTCATCCGGGTCATGTGCTGCCGCCTGTCCAAGTGCATTAGCTTGGAGGCGGACTGGAAGTGGAGCAGCTGGGACTTGAATCAGGGTTCACAGGAGATGCTGGAATTACAGGCAGTGGCTTAACCTACTATGCCACAATGCTGCTCATAAAATATGCTAATTTTTCAAAACTTACCCAGCACAACATCAGCCGTGCTGATAATCACTTCTGGGGTACTAAGATTCTGAGGATTTCATTGTTGGCACTCTTTCCTGCTTTCCCAACTTTTGAATATGAACATGTTTTGCAAATTCGAAAACATCACTATTAGGGTTCATGGCTAAACATAATTAGACATGGCAATCATGAGGAAGGAACAGAGAGAAAACTTGCATGATAACAACAAAACAAACCCTAAAGCCATAGTTTTTATGACCAACTGTGGGAGGAGAAAGGAATTTAACAAGAGAGATATTAAACCTGGTGATGTACTGAGTTACAGGACGTATGTGAATTTCTCGCAGGAATGAGAGAATACGAGAGAGATCCCAAAGGCCAGAAGCTTGAGTTAGCAAGAGACACAGCTCTTAACACAAAAAGGGAAGTGTTCAGAGAGGTTTTCTGGCCTCTTCCTAAGCTGGCGATTCATCTGTGCACGGTGGGGTCCTCACACTGCTGCTCTCAAAAGATGCAAATATGTGCGGAGTCAAGATGTGACGCTGATGACTGTAGCTGCCAGGTTAGGCTGCTGCCTGCCGAGCCACAGCACCAGCACCCCGGCACCACCTGTAGTTTCAACCTCTTCAATTCGGGCCGACAAAGTCCTTGTCACTGAGGCCATTAGGGGAGTGAACCAGAGGATAAAAGCCTGATCGTTCTCTCTCCTGCCTTCCTGGTAACGCTGCCTTTTAAATAGATCGATAAATAAATACTTCCTTCCTAAATAAAACAAAAACATGGGAAATTTAGAAAAGTAGAAGACTTGTGCCTGTTAAGGTAACTTCGCTTTCTCACTTTCCATCAACTCTTTCAAATACGACTTTTATACAACATGTGACTTTTTTTTTTTTTTGCAAAGTATACCCAAGGATGGTATTTAATACCCAAGCAATCTTTGCAATTCCTATCACACTTATGCCACAGATGAGCAAGTGGAATCTGAGCCCGAGTACAGATTTTTCTAAGCTCACATAACTAGAAACTTGAACTCAAGAGCTTCTGCCTGCCCCTGCCAGCAGGAAAGAATTCACTGTGCCTGGACTTGGGCAGCTGAATCCTACAGAGTGCAGTTTCCCTGAGAGAAACATGCGCAGCTGCATAAGAAATTATACAATGAAGTAAAAACGTATGTCAGGTTCTGGAAAATGACAATGGGTGTAGTTATTTGAACCTGATTATTCATGAGAACATGAGAATGTCAGCCATACTCTGAGTGCAATTCTATAAATATCACATATGCTAGAATAATCTTTTACATAGTAACTAAACAGCAGTAGGTAAGAATATTAGCCTGAGTGTTAACACGAACAAAAAGAACTTCATACAGGGTGGGTGTCTGACCTAGTCATTAATTAGGACACCAGGTAGGGGGCCAGCAGGGTGGTATAGTAGGCTAATCCTCTGTCTGTTAGCACCAAATTCCATATGAGCAACAGCTTGTATGCCGGCTGCTTCACTTCCCATCCCGCTCCCTGCTTATGGTCTGGGAAAGCGGTGGAGAATGGACCAAGTCCTTGGGCCCCTGCACCCACGTGAGTGAGAAGCATCACCTGGCTCCTGGCTTTGGATTGGCTCAGCTCCAGCTGTGGTGGCCACTTGGGGAGTGAACCAGCAGATGAAGACCTCTCTCTCTGTAAAACGTGCCTTTCCAATAAAAAGAAATAAATCTTAAAAAAAAAAAAAACTGTTAGCAAGTTTTCTCAAAGGCGTTCAGTGGCTGACAGGATTACCCTTTTCTTCGAACAGGCACACCAAGGCATGGGTGTCAAAGAAGAGCTTCCTGTTTCCCGAAGAGGTGAAATCGCTCCGTCTGTGCTCCAGCTGCAGGTGGCCAGCAGAGAGGCTTAGCTCTAGGATGGGAAGGAGAGTAAGTTCAGAGCTGACTTAATGGGAACAAAGCCCCACGACCCAGACCACGACAAAACAGGACATACTCCAGAAGCATGTCTGGTTGCCCTAACAACTTCAATCCGTGACATTCCCACAGTTCAACTCTTTTCAGTATACGTAAGAGTGGTGGAATAATCCTGTGATCATTTGTGCAACATTCTCATCTCCCCAAGGAAACTACACCACTTAGCCATCACCCTCCAATTCTCCCCGGCCTTCTGCGCCCCTCGTCCCCACCCTAGACAAGCACCCGTCTAGTTGTGAATTTCCTAACACTCTGATCATGTCATGTGTGGTCTTTCCCAACTAGCTTCTTTGACTTAGTACTCAGGTGACTTAGCACAAAATTCTCAAGTGTCATCCATGCTGCGGCCCCTGCCAAGACTTTGCTTCTTTGCATTTCTTAATATTCCATTGAGGGATTATTCCAAATGTTGTCTAGCCGTTAGTTTCCACTTCTTGGCTACTATGAGTAGTGCTGTGAATGTTGTCTTCAATTCTCCAGTACACACTTGGGGGTGGGATTGCTGGATCAAGTGCTAATGGTTCCACAACTGCCAGACTGTTTTCCAGAGTGGCTGTTCCATTTTGCATTCCAACTCCTAGCGAACGAGGTCCCAGTTTCTACACACCATTACTAACACCTGTTAGCCGTCTTTAAGACTATAATCATCCTGGTTGGTGTTGGATGGTACCTCTTTGTGGTTTTGATTTGCATTTCTCTGATGGCTCATGATTTGAGTATTTTTTTTCATGTGCTTACAAGTACTGGCTGTGTATCTTTGGAGAATTTATCTTTTCAGGTCCTTTGCTCATTAAAAAAAGCCAAATTTTTTATCTGAATGGTAGAGTTACAGGAAGAGAAAGAAGACACAGAGATCTTCCACCATCTGGTTCACTCTCCACAAGAACGGAATGGCCAGGCCAAAGCCAGGAGCTTCCTCCGAGTCTCCATGTGGGTGCAGGAGCCCAGGCATTTGCACTGTTTTCCAGTGCTTTCCTATGCGCATTAGCAGGGAGCAGGACTGGAAGTAGAGCTGCCAGGACTTGAACTGATCCCCTTATGGGATTGGCTTCCTAGTCAGAGGCTCAAGTGGTTATGCCACATTGTTGCCTTTGCCCATTTTCAATTTGGTGATTTGTCTGTCAGTGAGCTATCTTAAATACATTCATATGCAAGTTCCCTATCAGATTATGATCTGCGAATATTTTCTCCCCTTCTGTGAGCTCTTCACTCACTGAGTGTCCTCTGAAGTGTGAAACTTTAATTTTGATGAAGCACAGCTTTATTTTTTTTTCTTTTGTTGGCCTGTGCTTTTCGGTTTCATATGCAAAAAACCACTGGCTAAACCAAGAACAGGAAGATTTATATCTACATTTCCTCCTAAGAGTTTTTGTTCTCAGTTTTCCATCTTTGATTCGTTTTGCGTAGCAGTGGGAGAGGGTCCAGCGTAGATGTTCAGTTGTCTGTCCCACTACCAGGTTCTCCACTTAACTGTCACCCTTGCTAGAAATCAAATGCCTGAAGGCGAGAAGTCTGACCTCAGGGCTCTGTTCCATTCCATTCATCCGTGCAGGTCTTTATGCCCAGGCCACACTTGATTACTTCTGGTTATTGTTACAAGTTCTAACACCAGAAGTCAGTTTTGAATTTTGCTCTTGTACAAAACGAGTTATTCTGAGTTTCTTGCAATTTCTAGCATATTTCTGGAAAGTTACTCCAGTTCTGCAAAGAAGCCACTTGGGATTTTGAGGTCCCTGTGAAATTGGAATTCTTGGTCAGTTTCCCATTACCGTAATAACCTATCTGAAGCTGCAGTAACCTTATAATGAAAACAAAGTTTATTTGGCTCGTAGTTCTACATTCAAGGGCACGCTGCTGGCTTCTGTCTGGTATCACCGTGGTGGGGGTGCTGGGAAGAGATCACACAGTGAGACAGGAACCCAGAGGCAAGGGTGAGGGGAGCCCGGCTTCCTCCTCCTGCAATAATCCTCTCACAACCAACAGACTGATGACAGATCCTGCCTTAATCCCTCTTAGAGCAGCACCTGCAATGACTAAGGATTGCCTACTAGGCTTTAAAACACACCACCTGTCAACGTTTTCAGCCTGAGGCTCAAACTCCCTACCCATCTATCTATGTGGGACAAACCATGTCCAAATCTTCGTACACCTGCATGTCAGTGTGGGGATGTTTCCCTCTTTACAAAACCAACTATTCAGATCAACGAACATGGGCCCTGTTCCTGTTTATTTACATCTTCAATAATGCTTTGGGCTTTGAGAATCATCAGAGAATAGCAATAGCTCTTTCCAATCCAAAGGTCTTTTATTTTACTTTTTTGCTTAACTGCCCTAGATAGAAATTCCAGGGCAATGCTCCACAGAACAGAGACAGCAAGTATTTTTTTTTTTTTTCTTGTTCCTAATTTTAGGGGAAAAGCATTTAGTCCTGCCTCATGAAGCAGGTTACTAATTATGGGGTTTTCAAAGATTGTTTATCAGATTAAGTTCCCTTCTGTTCCTAGTTTCCTGAGGATTTTTGCTTTTTGAATCATGTAAGGGCACTGAGCTGACAAATGCTTTTTCTGTGCCTACTGGGTTTTATTGTGCCTTTAATCCTGTATTAATCCACTGAACTACATCATTTAGTTTTACACGTTAAATGAAACCTGTCTTTCCTGGGATAAATCTCATTCTGTCATGGCACATGATACCACTCATATGTTACTGCATTTGGTTTGCTCCTACTTTATTGAGAGTTTTTGTAACTATATTCACAAATGTTGCTTTTTCTGTAGTCTTCTGTGATGTCTTTGCAAAAGCCTCTTATTATCAAGACATTCCAACAACCTTTACAATCTATTTTCTATGAATCTGCATGCATTTTTCAAATCCAACACATTTTGTAAGCATCCTGTTCCCATATTGTATACTATGATTATCTCATGGCACCTGGACTTCTTGAAGTACTGAAACAGGATTTCTGAGAAGCTAGAATAACACCTGGGTTGCCAATTTCTAACTTTCCTAAGGAAGAATATTTTAAATGTACTAACTCCTTACTACTAGCATGAAAAAGACACTTTGATGCCAAAAGAGGAAAACAGTCTAAATTAAAACAGCCTTGGGGCCAGCGTTGTGGTAAGGCTGGTATAGCCACCACCTACAGAGCATCCCACATGGGTGCAAGTTCATTGTATTCTGACCGCTCCACTTCCAAACCAGCTGCCTGCCAATCCACCTGGGCAGGCTGTGCAAGATGGCCCGAATACTTGGACCCCTGCCACCCACCCCGGTGACCCAGACAGCTTTCCGCCTCCTGGTTTTGGACTGGCCGTCTGCTACCTGTTTCAGCTTACTTGGGAGAGTGAACCATCTGGCTTTCAAATTAATATCTTAGAAAATAAAAAAGACTCTTCATGTAACTTAGTCACTTTGGCTACACTAAAATTTTACTACACACTTTAAGGATTTATTTATTTTTATTGGGAAGTCAGATATACAGAAAGGAGGAGAGACAGAGAGGAAGATGTTCTGTCCAATGATTCACTCCCCAAGTGGCCGCAACAGCTGGAACTGAGCTGATCCATAGCCAGGAGCCAGGAGCCTCCTCCAGGTGTTCCACGGCTTGGGGTCTCCTCTATTGCTTTCCCAGGCCACAAGCAGTGAGCTGGATGGGACGTGGGGCCACCAGGACACGAATCAGTGTCCATATGGGATCCTGGCAAATGAAAGGCAAAGACTTTAACCACCAGGTTACCATGCTGGGCCCTCACACTTAAATAAAAGACGTATTATTTATTTATTTATTTGAAAGGCAGAGTCACAGAGAGATGGGAAAAGAGACTAAGATTGTCCACCCATGGTTCACTTCCCAAACCGCTATGATGGCTGGGACTGGGCCAAGGCCAAAGCCAGGAGCTTGAAGCAGGTCTCCCAGAAGTAGAGCAGCAGGACTTGAACTCGTGCCATCTGTGATTCTGGTGTTGAAGGTGGAGGTTTAACATGCTACACCACAGTGCCAGCCCTTGTTCTTCCTTTTTCTAATCTGCCACAGCCTGACACCAGGCTGAAGCCAGGTGGTGTGGAAGAGTGACAGAGAGAGGAAAGTCATCTCCCGAATCACAGACGCTTCAGCCAGCCAACTACTCCTTCACTTCTTAACACGCCACAACGCGAGCCCCAAGTCAGACATGTGACCCGGAATGCTTTTCTGCAGCCTATAGCAGCAAGCCAGGAAGGGCAGAAGTGTTGCAGCCATGGTCACTGACAGGCAAGCGAAGGATGCAAATCACAGGTGTTCGAGTCAGGCACTGTGCGTAGACTGACAAAATATAAAATGCAATGATATAGGGGCGCGTGTGTATGAGGGTAAGATAACTCAGGACTGTAGGACCAGGGCTTGGCCCCACACAGAGAGTGCTTCCTAATGCAGCCCACCCTTGGCCCTTGAGCACCTTCTAGCACACAAGCTGTTCTGCTTCCTGTCCTGAACAGCCTCTCTTTTCCCATAGCTATGTTTAAGCGTCCTTTCATACCCCTCTTCAGGACGTGCCTTGTTCTCCCTGCCGTCTCTGCCCGGGCTGCTGCACGGCTCAGGCCAGGGCAGGCAGCTCGAGCCCAGCGCTGACTTCTCACTGCACTGCTTCTGTATTGGACTCACTCGTCAGTCCAAGCTGCCATGAGCAGTCTTACTCAGTTTTGATCCTTAGCTTCTGGCAGGCAGCCCAGGACACGGCTGGCCGGGAATCACCTCCGGCACACTCAGTGGAACTGTAACGACTTCCAAGCCCTGCGTGATGACACTCTCGAAACAAAAAGTGATTTGAGATCAGCTCCTTTGTCTCTTCACCTCAGGTCTTTCCTGCTCACACAGCTGAGCTCCCACGGGTAGCAGCTCCTTTCTCATTATTTACCTCCAGTTCTGAGACCAAAACCAGCCTCCATGGAAACATACCCAGACCAGTGTGTATCAACAGCTCTAACCTGAAAAACGGCAGGTGTGCAAAGGAATGGATGAAAGCTCACCCCAAGAGGCCCTCTGAGGCTACCGTACATCTCAGAACTCTGTAGGATGGTCCCAGTGCTCAGAAAGCTCGGAAAAATCTGAGTCTAGAAGTTTAGAAAGGGTTATTTCTCCCCAATTCCTCGTTTCTAACAACAGAATAATTGTTGAGGTGACTTAAAACATTCAACACTCTCCTCACCTCACCCCTGCCTCCACACTACATGAAACCAAACAAGCATGCCACTACTTTTAAGCAGGAGCTAGTGGCAGTTCTTTTCTCCTTCCCCCCCCCCCAAAAAAACCACAGCTGGAACCAGAAATAGCAATGCTATTTCAAAGAACTCCTGAGAGAGGAGAAAGGCTGCTCTCAGGACTCCGACTCCAGCTGAGGCAAGGCTCTCTGACAAAGGACACCCAAGGACACAGCCATGTCCCCAATTCCTACTGGGACCAGGAAGCAAGTAACCTGAGCTCTGTTCAAGTGCAGGAAGCCGCTCACCTTTCTGGGAACCTTCAGCTTACCAAAAGGATAGAGAGAAAGAGGTTCCAAGTTGGCCTTAGACACAGGAGGAAGTGACGTACACATCCCCACCTCTTCCGGGTCTCCCACATGGGTGCAGAGCCCCAAGGCTCTGGACCATCCTCTACTGCTTTCCCAGGCCACAAGCAGGGAGCTGGATGAGAAGTGGAGCAGCTGGAACACAAACTGGTATCCATATGGGATCCCAGTGCATGCATGACAAGGATTTAGCAGCTAGGCCACTGCACCACGCCCTGTAGATGTATTTTCAAGTCCTGTTTGCACGTGGTTGTCTTGGCAGGGCCCGTCTTTCTGCATCCCTGTGAGCAAACACGCAGGAACAGAAGCACTGCTGGTGCTTCACGGTATACGTGCTCAATTCTTTCATCGTGCCTTGCTCACTGGACACGGTACTACACCTTCCTGGTAGGTTAGCCAATCCACGACAACCCAAAGTGTCCCATTATCTTTGAGTTACCATAGGGAAACTTATCAACGGAAGCCAGTTTCTGTCCCCCCGCCCCCCCCCCCCCCAAAAAAAAAGCACAACACAAGGCCAAACACAGAAATGATGACAACTCCTCAGGGCCCTGAGCCAGCCACGGGCAGCTCACATCCCCACCCTGCGTCCACAGGCTCCTTTCCTTCATATTTTGTTAACCAAATTCTCCAGTCAGCGACACTGCAAAGTCTCACCTGCAACCCAACACTGACTGGGTATTTCTGCTGAGAAAAATATGGGAAAAAAAAACGCGAGGTTACCAGCGGCTATGAACAGACATGTAGACTACCCAAGGTTGATGCCATCTGACAAGCTACTGAGGACCTGAAATGAGATCTGCATGGTTTTCAATTCTTTTCCCACCAACCCAAGTGTATCTTTTAATTCCATTTCTCACAACTTTTTGAGGCCTTCTCACATGTTTATCAACAATTTGCTAGCAGCTGTGTGCAAACTCACCTCTTTCAAGCATTTGATCCAATGTGACGTACTCAGTAAAACCAGTTATGCTCATCCTAAAATTTCCAACTGGAGGCTCACTCTACTTCCCAACCCTTAGTACCCTAAATTTTCCTATAGCATTTACAAATTATCTTCACGTAAGATTACACGTGCATATGTAAAATGTGCATATGTATGCAGATTATACACCCACAAGGGTAATTTTAAAAGATGTGGAGGGACCACCAGGCCTTTGAAGGAGCAGTTAAGAAACTGCCTATTCCCACACACCCAGCACCTGGGCCCCAGCTGCTGAGGGCTCCACTGGTCAGGTCCCACGTGCCAGCCACGTGCCAGATCTGGTCTGAGGTCACAGCTCTTGTTTCAACCTGGCCCAGCTCCCACAGGGCCCACAGGGACCAGCTGATGGGGCGTTCTGCCTCTCAAATAACAAGCATTTCAAAGTTGACGGAAAAACACAAAGGCAGAGCTCACGTGGTTGCAAACCCATGTGTTTTTCTCGTAATTCGTATTTTCCATGAGCCTTCCGAAGCCCTCGCAAATGCACGCCTGTGACACTTTCTAAAACTCAAATCAGCTTAGCTGTCGCTTCCTCCTTCCTCTTGAGGAAGTAGGCACCTTCTGGGTTGTCATAGGTGCCCCCTGGTCTTGTGGATCAGTTTAAGTGGAGAACACACACTGCAGCTAGCTCTGCAGTGTGCGCTGGCCTCTGAACTGTAAAATGCTATCCTGAAGTAAGGTGGGACATTGCGGAGCAAAGGTTTCGCCTAAAATGTGCTGCGTGCCCGCACAGGCTGCAGGCCAGGCTCCAATGGCTGCACGCACCGCCCCGGAGTCTGAAATAGGAGACCCATACCCCAGCTCCATTTCCCCGCAGCTCGGGCACACCCTCCGACACTCCCTCCGCCGAGCCCGGCCTGACGGCACACCTGTAGCCGAGCCGGCCCTGACGGCACACCTGCAGCAGGGGCGCAGGGGCGCAGCCCCCGGTGGGCGTGCACGCCTCGCCACGCGCGCACTCCCCGTCACCCGGCCCCGAGGGCCGTCTACGCCCAGGCGTCCGCGAGGCCCACAAGGGCGGGCCCGGACCTTCGCCCCACGCGCGGAAGGACGCCGCCGACCCGGGCTGACCCGGGCTGACCCGGCCGGGGGCCTTCCCGACGACCCTGCCCCGCGCCTGCCCGCCGTCCCCCGCACCTCACCTCTCCTGGACCACGCGAGGCCGGGCGCCGGGCCGGGGCTCAGGTGAAGGGCGCCGCCCCGGGCCGCGCGCGGGCGCTCCCGGTCGGCCGGCGTCCGGCGAGGGGCAGCGGCGGCGGCCAGGCGCGGGGACGGCACGAGCAGCAGCAGCAGCAGCGGGGAGGCTCGGGACGCGGCGCCGCGGGGTCGCAGCGCCCCCAGACCGCCGAGCAGCCGGGGCAGGCAGCGGCGCGGCCCCGCGGCCCCGCGGCCCCCCGCGCCTCCACCGCGGCCAGCGGGCAGCCAGAGCAGCAGCCGCCGGCGGCCGGGCGGGCGCCTGGCTCTGTCGCCCGCCAGAGAATCGCACTCCATCCCCGCGCCGGTCACCGGCCCCGGCGCGCGCTCATACCGCCCGCGCGCGCGCGACCCCGGGCAGAGTTGGACTACGGGAACGAGCCCGCCCTTTCCTGCCGGCGAGGGGCGGGGTTCAGCTCGCCACGCCCCGCCCTGGCCCCGCCCTCTGGCCCCGCCCCCGCGCGGTCCCGTCCTCCGCAGGACCCGCCCTCTGGGCCCGCCCCCGCGCCCCCGCCCTGGCCCCACCCACTGCCGGGCCCGCCCTCTGATCCCGCCCCCGCGCAGCCCCGCCCCTGGGCCCGCCCTCTGATCCCGCCCCCGCGCGGCCCCGTCCTCCGCAGGACCCGCCCTCTGATCCCGCCCCTGGGCCCACCCCCGCGCCCCCGCCCTGGTCCCACCCACTGCCGGGCCCGCCCTCTGATCCCGCCCCCGCGTAGCCCCGCCCCTGAGCCCGCCTCTGGTCCCGCCCCCGCGCAGCCCCGCCCCCGGGCTCGCCCTCTGATCCCGGCCCCGCACGGCCCCGCCCTCCGCACGGGCCCGCCCTCCGATCCCGCCCCCGCGCAGCCCCGCCCCTGGGCCCGCCTCCTGCGTGGCCCCGCCCCGCCCTGCTCCTACAATTTGCACGTGCTGCACTGCAGTTTTCAGAAGTTAACCGCCCAGGTGCCCTTCAGAGTCGTGAAAACTCTGATTACTGGGCGGCCCTAGATTTTACTGATTAACTATACCGAGGAATTTTTTTTAACCAGGCCAGGGGTCCCCCTTCTCCAGTCAATACATTTAAAGACTAAACTCCCAGAGCTTCGGTTTCCAGAATAGAGCACCCTAAACATGAGAAGGTTGCAGTCTGGGAATTTAAAACTTGATGCATGTAGGTTTGGAAACCTACTGGTCTAACAAAAGAATATTTGAAGCCAGCACTGTTCAGGTTAGTGAACTTGCTAAATGTCTATTGTACCTGTTGCAATGTGTAACTCCAGGAGGTGTTAGCCCTGTAGCCATGCTCTGTACAGAAGCTATGTTAAGTACTATCAAAATAAAACTAAAGTGCAAGTGTGACACTTTGATAAAGTGTTAGTGCAAGTGTATATTTGAAAGAGTGGTAGGAAAGACTGTATCCACAGTTCATCTGCATACATTTTTAAACAGATGTATTTATTTTTATTGCAAGGTCAGATATACAGAGAGGAGGAGAGACAGAGGAAGATCTCTTCCGGCTGTTGATTCACTACCCAAGTGGCAGCAACGGCTGAAGCTGAGCCAACCTGAAGCCAGGAGTCAGGAGCCTCCTCCAGGCTTCCCACATGGGCACAGCGTCCCCAGGCCTTGGACTGTCCTCCACTGCTTTCCCAGGGAGCTGGATGGGAAGCAGGGCTGCCAGGATTAGAACCAGTGCCCATTTGAGATCCCAGTGCGTTCAAGGTGAAGTATTTAGCCTCTAGGCTACTGCGTGGGGCCCAATCCGCATAAATTATGCAGTGTGCCAGCAAATGGAAGATTTCCCTCTCTCTCTCTTCTGTCACTTTGCCTTTCAAGTCTGTAAATAAGTCTTTTTGAAAGGTTTATTTTTATTTGAAAGGTGGTGTTCTATACAGAGAAAGACAGAGAGAGATCTTCCATCAGTTTCACTCCCCAGAGGTTGGGCCGGATAGGAACTGGGAACTTGTTCCAGGTTGTCTGTGTGGGTGCAGGGTCCCAAGGATTTGGGTCCTTTTCTGCTGCCTTCTTAAGCCACCAGCAGGGAGCTGGATCAGAAGTGGAACCGCTGAGACTCAAACTGGTGCCTGTATGGGAAGGTGACGCTTCAGGTAGAAGCCTTGCTGGCTGTGGCATGGCACCAGCTCCTATACAAATGAATCTTTTAAATTCTGTTCATTAGCTTCTAAAAATATATCTAACACTGACTATGGTGTAATATTAATTGATCCTAAATTCACCCAGGCATTTAAATCCCAAAGTTGTAACTGAATGGTACTAGGGAAAAACAATGTAATTATGATATTTAGAGATGGGTCTTTGGGAAATGATTAAGAGTAGATTGATCGGGTCCGGCGCAGTGGCGCAGTGGTTAAGGTCCTCCCCTTGCACGCCCGGGATCCCATATGGGCGCCGGTTCTAATCCCGGCGGCTCCTCTTCCCATCCAGCTCCCTGCCTGTGGCCTGGGAAAGCAGTCGAGGACGGCCCAAAGCTTTGGGACCCTGCACCCGCATGGGAGACCCGGAAGAGGCTCCTGGCTTCGGATCGGCATAGCATCGACCGTTGTGCTCACTTGGGGAGTGAATCATCGGATGGAAGATCTTCCTCTCTGTCTCGCCTCTCTGTATATCTGCCTTTCCAATAAAAAAAAAAATAAATCTTAAAAAAAAAAAAAACAGTAGATTGATCATGGGGGTGGGCCCTTCAAGATTGAATCCTGGTGAGCTTATAAGAAGGAGAGGAAGTCCACAGGTTGGATGGAGCTTTCTGTGCCACCTCGGGACTCTGTCAGCAGCAAGGTCATCAGCTGGGGCCCTTGGACCTCACGCCTCCATAATGCTGAGCCAAAATAAAACTTCTTCATTAAGTTAGCTACACCTGCATTGTGGCAGAGTAGAGTAAGCTGCAGTCTGCTACACTCATACCTCAAGCCAGCACGGTGGTAGGAGTCTTGGCTGCTCTGCTTCTGATTCAGCTCTCTGCTGCTGTGCCTGGGAAAGCAGTTGGAAAGTGTGCCATGCACTAGGAACCCTGTCCACCATTTGGAAAGCTTGGATGGATTGCCTGGCTCCTGGTTTCAGCCTGGCTCAGGCCTGTTATAGCCCATTTGGGAAGTGAACCAATGGACAAAAGAACTCTCTCGTTGTTCCTTGGTTTTTCAAATAAAAACATTAAAAAAGATTTATTTATTTTTATTGAAGAGCCATATTTGAGAGAAAAGGAGAGACAGAAAGAAATCCTCCATTTGCTGGTTCGCTCCCCAAGTGACCATAACATCCGGAGCTGAGTTGAGCTGAGCTGATCAGAAACCAGGAGCCAGAAGGCTTCTCCAGGTCTTCCATATGGGTGTAGGGTCCCAAGGCTGTGGGCCATCCTCTGTTGGGGTCCGTGCAGTAGATGTGGGGGACATGAAGGGGGTGAAGAATGTTGTTCCATTGCAGGCAGGGCTGCAAGGAATTTCCCGCTGACCAGCAGGGCCCGCCCAGCGGATGTCACTACAACCACCTGAATGCAGCTCCACCTTCTTTTGCATGGACACTGGACCACCCTGTGGAAGAATTCTAATCCATCCTGGCATTTGCTACTGCGAGGTTGACCTTTTGCTCAGCCTGAGCTTGGAGGTCAATGTCTTGCAAAAGGGGCCCTTTATTATTCCTACTGTCTTGGCTGTCCCCACTGAACCTATGCTAATCAAGGGATCTAGATTTAGGCTTTCATTCTTTCCTCATTCTTTAGACTCCCCTTTTCTTTGTGATACAAGATCGAATTGTAGGGTAAGAATTGTAGCAGGAACTTCTAGGTCCTGGCAGCAGAAACTTCTAGGTAATATTATGGCAGAGTTATCTTTAGAAACACCCACTTATTCATCACGTAAAAAGTCTGAGCCAGAGCTTGACTCATTTTGTATAAATAAAGCGGACAGCTTTCATGCATTGTCCATTATGATCATGAAGTCCTAGTGGTCTGTCTCTTTCTTTCCTCTTTACGCCTCATCCACGCACCCTTCTCGAGTTCCGAACTCAGCTGGAGCTGGACTCCGGCAATCCTCTACTGTTTTCCCAGGCCACAAGCAGGGAGATGGATGGGAAGTGAAGCAGCTGGGATACAAACTGGAACCCATATGAGATACCAGCGCTTGCAGGATGAGGGTTTATGCCGGAGTCCAGCTCCAGCTGAGTTCGGAGCTCGGGAAGGGTGCGTGGAGTTGGCGATAAAGAAAGACACAGACACAGACACTTGGTGCGTTCTCGCTGCCTCCCCACTCAAGAAGAAGCTGTCCTTTTTATTTACTTAGACACATCACACGTCTCTGCACAAACATTTGATTTTTTATCTTTAACTTTAGAACTAAGACAGCATGCACAGATGTTCAATTAATTTTTACTTCATGGTCAACCAGGTGCTCTTAAAGTAAGTTACTATAATCAGTTTCTTTGAAGCAAGCCGTTATTCATTTTTCAGAAGTAGCCATTAGGTGACAGCCAGAACTCCAAGGCCAAGGCACAGATGGTTACCTACTAATCAGTAAAACATTCCTACTACATTTTTATTTTCACAACTTTATCACTTAATGGGATAAGAGAAAAAATAAAAGAGAAAAAAAACATAAGGATCTAAAACAAAAAGTTTCAAACATTAAATCCCCCTACAGCTGCAGGCTCTACAACCTCATAAACAATCAAACAATAATCAAAAATATATCTCTATGATGTTAAAAAAAATTGCCCTATACTTCCTCTAGTTTAAAAATTATGGAAGAGGCTAAAGCAGCTACATTTTCTATGCTCTAAAGAGTTGCAAGGACAGGCTAACCTTTAAGGTCACAGCAACTATATTTTTGCCTTAGCAGTTTCAGCTCATACTCCCATCACTTCCATTAGTTTGTAAAATTCTTGTTAAGCTGTTTCCCAGAAGGCATGCTATATGTCTGGGCCCGATTTCAGAGCAATGGGTAGGCACACAATAAGGTGTCCAGAAATGTCATGGGGTAATTGTAGGTTTAATTGTACTCCTGTGCGCAGTTAAAGACCCACTCACTCACCAAGACATCAATAACATTAACTCTTAAGCTCACAGTAGTTGCCAAAGCCATCTCACAGGGGCAAACAATGCCTCAATAGATTGCAGAATTCTTAGTGGGGTGCTTGAGTGTCCACGCAAACAGGGGGTGAAACAGCATCAAGGTGGTCAGAGAGAAATCCGCCGGGCCCTGCCAAACAGCTGGAAGCTCCCCAGGCCCTGCCAAACAGGGGAGCTGTTCTCTTCACACCTTCGTGTCATCCATACCTACTGCACGGACCCCAGCAGGTTTACCCATTGAGCCAT